CATTCCTATAGTTTGAGCTCATGGTCTCATGACTGGATAAATAATATTTATCTAAACATGGATTATTAACACACCCTTATTGCTCTTTATTAGGAGAGTGCATACTGTAGTAGCTGACAGTGAAGAGCACTTGCCTGGAGCGTGCTCTGAGGCCGTGCACAGCTCCACACATGACTGCAGTGTGTGAGATCAGATGACCTGTGTACAAGAATGTGGCCTCTTCCTCCCTCACATATCTCTCTATCACTGCTATTACATGGACTACGGCCGCATTAAAGTTACCAAACTCCATCTACGCTCTCTACACCAGGCATGGCGATATAAGAAAAATAAAATATTATATATTAGTGCTGTCTGTTAAACGCGTTAATGACAGCGTTAACAACAGTGTTAACAGCATTAACAACAGCGTTAACGACAGCTAAACTCTACATGCACTTCTTCACGAGCCTTGCCGCTTCAAAAGACACGTGTGCTTTGCAGGGGACCTAAGGTACAGCAGGCTAGAAGAACACAAAAGCAGTCGCGACTCGCGATTACCGTCTAATTTTACGAGTTTCATCTCTAACTCGTACTGAATACGTTTGTTCTCATTCTAAAACAGTGAGTTTAAGTCCTTATTCTTAAGATCCTGTTTTCAAAAGGACCTCAAACCGTGCATAGTATGTGCTCTTTAAATTGGCCGTTCATCCTGTTTTTCTATCATCCGAAAAGCCTCCTCTCTCTCACTCTATCTCTGCCTCATATTCTTGTCTCTGTCTTTCTCCGTGTGTGTTTCTGCTGTTATGTCTTTAATCAGAGCGCTGCTGCAGATAACACTTATGTAATACTGAACTGCTGAGCCAAAACCCATAACGCTCTTACACTCATTATATTAGCACCATTTCGATTCTTATACGAGAAGAATCATTTCATTTCAGATTTTCGACTCAACTAAAAGTACATATAAGGACAAAGTAACCCGAATAAGTACTGAATAAAGAGGGGAAATTCTGAAAGATGTTGTGGTAGAAGCAGGAAATTACATTTGGCTAGACTTAAATCTACAGATCTGACTTTGATCGACGTACTGTAACGAGTTTGAAGAAGTTCCTGATATCAGAAGAGAGGAAGATAAAAGCAAGTCCAGGTCTGCTTTTGATATGGGAAAATCAAAAATGTCCTTGAAAGTACCTTTAACCCAAACTGGACATAATTATGCTGTCCACATTACAAAACCACTCAACTCTAACAACACCATAAACAGCTGAGAATATTAGAGAACTCATTATCTATGACAGTTTATGCTTTACTTTTCACTCATCACAGTCAAGATGATTGTAATTTTTCCAAATATTTTCAAAATTGTGACCATAATTTCAACATGATCTCATTTCCTGGCTGTAAATTAGGTCATCACCAAATAAATAAATACAATCACCGATCAGTGGGATGTTTCCTGTATCAAACTGGGCCACAACTCCTGCAATGTACAGAGAAAGTACTTCAGAGAAACTCAAATACACTCCAGTCAAACACATTTAGGTATATTCTTGTGTCATTTACGTGAGGTTAATTCTTCCAAACTTCATGATGAACTGTGACTCGTCTGCTTGTGATGTCATGAGTGTCACAGCTCTACTCTTCATCGGTGTAAAATTACAATTTATGTTCAAAACAAGCATCATGCCACCAGAAAAAGACACAGTTAGAAAATAATAAAGACTTGTCATGGCAATATGTTATCAAAGCACAATAACTCAACAATAACTCGTGATGTCTGCAACTTCAATTGTATTTAATTTATGAAAAGAAAACAGATTGCTGCTCTGTCCTTGATATATCAGCGGGGGCTTCAGGCAAAGTGGGGTTAAGTGTTTTGCCCAAGGACACAATGGCAGCAGCATAGTGCAACATTTAAAAACAAAAATATATTCATTAGCTCAAGATGAGACTGTTGACCCAAAAGAAAAGCGAAAACGCACAAATAATCAACTTCTGAGCAAATAGTGTTGGAAGTCAAAGTGGCTCTAAATTGTGTTTTTGTCAAGCCCTCTCCACGGTTCACAATATTTGCAGAGCACAGAGAAACAAACTGAGTTCTGTTTTGATTATTTGCTGGGAGAGCAGCCGTGGCAGAGGGATAGACAGTGTGCTCTCCCAAAGGCCTGAGGCTGTTTCTCATGACACACTTTAAACACAGAGATCCAACCATAACACACACATCCATCACATACATTCAAACAAGAGGATGTGCTTTACATAAGTGGCATATTTCAACTCTGCTGTATCAAGGGAGAGGCTTAAGTTATGGGAAAATAAACATGGCATAACAAATGACAACAATTCCTGCATTCACACATCATGCGGGTTGGGTATGGGGCTGGGCGATGTGGAAGAAAAATACATCTTTTACATTTTTTTTATCTCAGTATCTGATATATAACATTTTTTTTACAGGATACATAACCCTCCAAAAACTACTGCAAATACAAACATGCCAATTTCCAAAATCTTTGTTAAAAGATTTTTATTGAACCTCAAAGAGGGACTCAGTTCAAGTAGGGGCGTCTGTCACATTTCCTGTTTACAAAAGTTATCATTTAACTGAGAAATAGATGAAGAATTTATACAAATTGCCTTTTCTTCTTTCAAAAATAAAACAACAAATCAATGTGCAAATAGGAACACCATATACACAGCAAAAACGGCTGAGTAAAATTTCCAGAGTCATTATTTTTTTCTTCCAATTGAGTTCTTTTTAAACATTTTAGAGTAAAATAACCTCTAGCGGCCTCTAGAGTGCGAGTGATTTTTCAGAGATGATCAGAATCTCCTCGATTGGAGTAAATGAGGCCCCGCCCTATGTCCCGCCCCCAAAATTCAGGTCTTGAGTTTCTGAACCGCCGCCATGACAGTTTATCGCTGGACACTAGCAGACGGAGTGTGGAAACCATGGATGTACTCATTTCTTTCTACGTCATGGATAGTCAAAAGGATACAAGGTGAGTCTAAATGCATATTTAAAGTTTGTCACTTTTTTCAGTTTCATTTAGTCCATGCTGTTATCGCGGTGTACATTTGGACCACAGTTGTGTCTTGTGAAAGCTGCTAGCTTAGTGCTGTTACAAGTTACAAATACTGATATAGCGTTACATCTTCTGGTAATCATATGTGGTTGGAGTTGTACAGAGTTTATTAGTAATGGATTAATATACATTCAAAATGTAGAATTTGTTAAACTTATGTTAATTAGTTAATCAAATTTTGCGTCACTGCAACACATTCTTTGAGCTATTTTTTAGTGTGTGTATGTGTTACTTTATTCAAATCAATCTGTATACACTGAATACATTTTATTGTAAAACGCCTGTTGTGCTCCGGTGGCGTAGACAGACGACCGCGTGTATTACTTTGGTGCTTTAGCATGGTTTCTCATGGGTTAGAATGGGCAAGTATTTGACACTGGGAATGAGCTATGGTGGCGCGTTAGCCTTGTTACAGACAGCGCAGCACATGGAGGTGACTCTAACTTGAGTAGTTTTGTTGTTAGCATTGTTGTTAGCATTGTTACAGACAGCGCAGCACATGGAGGTGACTCTAACTTGAGTAGTTTTGTTGTTAGCATTGTTGTTAGCATTGTTACAGACAGCGCAGCACATGGAGGTGACTCTAACTTGAGTAGTTTTGTTGTTAGCATTGTTGTTAGCATTGTTACAGACAGCGCAGCACATGGGAGGTGACTCTAACTTGAGTAGTTTTGTTGTTAGCATTGTTGTTAGCATTGTTACAGACAGCGCAGCACATGGAGGTGACTCTGACAAGAGTAGTTTTGTTGTTAGCATTGTTGTTAGCATTGTTACAGACAGCGTAGTTGACTTTGGATGCAGTTTTAGCCATGTTTGCCACATAAACACTATTACTGTTACAACAGTGACCACATGTGTGTACTAAAATTGTTTTATATGTCTCCTTAGATGAATGCTGAAGTGATGTGCAGCGATCCACAGAAGTACATCTGCTATGAAGGGCAGCTTTGTTTTGCGTTATTCTTCAAATGTAGTAAGTGGGAAATATGTAATTATCTTTAGCTTCAGGGGCATTATAAAGTAAAATGCTTTGATAATATTACATTGTACTCCACTCTGAAATGCCTTGATACTTTTAAACAATCTTGTTGTCAGCACAACTAACATACATTTGTTTTTGCAGTTGCAAAATAAATGGATATTCCAACTTTCAAAGTCTATGATGAGACGAAGACTGAGGTTGATGAAGTATTTGAATTTCTCCTCAAGAAGGAGCGTTTGGGTGTGCTAGATGTTTGTTCACCAAAGGGTGTGTGTTTTTTTAAATGATTAATTAATTTAATGCTGTATTTTCATATATTAAGGTTTTTATTTTGACAACTATGACTTTATGTTGCAGATGGGTTGAGCTCCCCAAAGTGGAGATACCGAGGTTGACTCTGAGGACGCGATCATAGCAGTTTAGTCCTGCTTCAGTCAATAGAACTGAGGATGCTCGTCTCTCACATGTGAGCTTGATGGTTATATATATATGCACCACACTATGTATCTGATTAAGTTATTTTATCGTACCATTGTAAACACTTTGTTTTATGTTTCCAGATTGAGAGCATCCCAAAGAACAAACCAGGAGGAGATGGAATCTTAAGCGATTATGCTCAAAAGCCTTACAGACAGCAGGAGACGTGATATAGTCAACATTTTGGTTGCGCATATGACAAATGAACATGGTAAAACATTGCTAATTTTGAAAGTTTCACTGTTTCATAACTAAAATATAACCTATTATTTTAAAGAAGTCCTTCAAGGCGTGTAAAAGACGAATATGCCAGAGGAATTATTGCCTTGTTATCTCTGTTTGGCAGATCCAAAGAGCTAACTTGGTATGATACTTAACTCCTCTGAACATTTGTATCTGAGTCATTCACAGGGATGTTGTCAAACTATGTTTTTATTTCAGGAGCACTATTACCGTTTTTCTGGCTGTGTCCTATGGTCCCAAAAGGACACCATTACCAAAAGGTTAGTTAAAGACTGTTGAGTTATTCTGTTGGAAAAGGTAAATTATTTGTATGTTTATTTGTCTATAGGTGGTCCGCATGCTAACTGAGATACCTACAAGAGGAAGATTGATCTGTGCTGGCAGAAAGTCTATTCTGTGAAGCAATTGCTCTCATGAAGCACACAATGGATGAAGCCATAGTCAAAGAGAAGATGAAGCAGACATGTCACTATCGTCAAAATATGGTCCTGAAAAATCTCTCGGTCTTCACAATGTTTTCAAGATTTCTGGATATATCAGGACTGGTAAGTCACCTTAAATATTGATATTGTTAATGTTGTATCAACATTTCATTATGTCTTTTGTTATAAAACAGATAGAGCAGGACTTCAGACTTACAGTATGCTTGATGATGCTACTTCAACAAAATTAGCCAATTGTCTGCAATCAAGAATTAAAGCTGAGTCCACCTCTAAAGTTGAAGGTGAGTTTTTTTTATATTGGTGAAAATGGATCGTGTCACAAACACAGTAGATGACTTCCGTTTATCTTTTTCAGGCTGGGGCAATGACATGTCTTCTTCTTCTACTTCACCAGACATGTCTGTGACCATCTCACTGTTTCTCAAGGTAAGGTCACCTCGCTTTTTCTAACTTTTTGGAAGGGCTTCATTATTAACGTATGCTTGTTAATTTTCTAGACTGGGACCAGCATTCAAGATCATCTGCACGGAATCACAGAAAGGCATCAACCCTAATATTTGGATTTCTGTGTCAACAGTGTGCATGTTCACAAATGGAATGAGAATTTTCTATTGAGCAAGTATTTGGTGCCAAATAAAAGGGTATGTGAAAAAATGTTTGATCTTTTTGTCATATTTCACATTTTTAGGAGCTTGTGGAGAAACTATCACTCAAAATTGAGTTCTTTTTAGGGAGTAAATTACTATGGAGTAAATATATAGTTCCTCAAGTAAGAGTACAAAATAGAGTGAGAGTCAATTGAAATTTACTCTATATAGAGTGAAATGTACTATTAAACAATTACTCAGAATTGAGGAATGTTAACTCTTTTTAGGGAGTAAAATACCACGGAGTAAATTTATAGTTCCTCTCGCAAGAGTAAAACTAGAGTAAGAGTCAATTTAAATGTTCTCTGCAGAGAGTGAATTTTACTATTAAAGAGTAGAATTTTTACTCTAAATTGAAGAGAAATTACTCCGATTAAACGACTCTATCAAAAGAGTTAATTTGACTCTTTTTAGAGAGGGACCAAATGTTATCAAAAATGGAGTTAAATTTTCCTCAATTTGAGTAAATTTTACTCTAGCGATTTTACTGTGTAGGAATGTGCTTCAGCAACATTTAAGTTCCAAAGCAGCTGCTCTCTCTTTAGAACTGTTCAGTCGTATGAGTTTGAGTATCATAACGCCTCGACTCGGTTTCTGTAATCTGTGTTTGCCACGATGTTCAATTACGACAAAAGGTGTCAAGTCACCGCTGTATGAAACTCTGACACCAGTTATAGATTTAAAATAAATATAGAATAATTTTATAGCCTGTAACAAGTTATGAAAAGTCCTCTAAAGTTTCAGGCCAAATTGAACACACTTAATACATAATATATTCAAGACTTCCAGAGAACAAAGCTGTTGTGATAATAGGTCCAAACGATGCCGCATAATGGCGTGTGTGCATTAGCTGCAGTAAATGGCTTCCTGTCATCGACGCTGCAGACCCTGTCCCTGAGATGGTGGCTCTGTCTACTTCCCATCAGCACTAATGCAATCTGCTAATTATCCAACGCTCAGAGAGTAGCTGGACCCAGAGCCACTGAAAGGCCTGCATCTCCTTTCATAGATGAGTGTTTTAAATCTCTGGGATACAGCAGTGGCCATGTTAAGTTTTAGGGATGGGCGATGTGTAAGAGTCAATGTCGGCCTCAAACATACAGTGTTAACATGTATCATTATTAGGCATAGGCAATTTAATAACGCTAGCGTATAATTTGTATAGTATCATTTTGAGTGACAGAATGAAACTGAAGTACTGCGATAGTGCGCACTGATGAGGATTACCTTTTGTCTGTGTGCATGGAGAACAAGCCGCTGCGATCACAGCTGCTGCAGAGGAACTCTACAAGTTTCACTCCTTCTTACTAGCCGGTGTTATCTCCGTGGGTTACCGGGCCCACTGTGTCGACACTGTGAGCCTTTCCAGCATTTATTTGAGTGTGCTGAAGGTAAAAGCCCACGTTATGCACTTTATACATTTGAGATCCAAGTTGCCATAATGTTAATCTAACAAGAAGACAAGATGAACCTTCCTAAACTATGCTGTATTTATCATATTTAGTTAGTTAGTTAGCCATGTTTATTTCGAGCAAATAAGTGTATATTTGAAAAGATATCTTTTATGTACTAAGAGTTCATTGGCTGTGTAAGGGTTGTCCTCTATTTTTCACTTTTCCATCTGAAAAAGTCGTGACAAAGTTCAAAAATACATACAAGAATTTAACCAGTGCTATTTATATTGTGAATTCTAATTGCGGTATCTACTTCTCATATCTCATAATTTCCTTAATTGGTACCTATCAATTGTAGGCCAGTAGAAAGGACATTTAGACGTAAGAATAATATGGCGAGTTTATTAATCTAATCACTATCCAAATATCATCTTGAAAAACATACATTTTTGTTTTTTAAAATGTTTATTTCCCATAGAGATGTAAAAGCACCTGCCCTCCACCTGAAATAGAATTATAGAACCCAACCTTGTTCAAAAGAAACAATACACAGCAGCTTTGTCAAATGAAGACTATGACTTCACTGTGGTTTAAAACAATAAAACCTTCTACCTACCTAATAACTACATGTTTTTTTCAGAACAGAAAAATTAAATGAGAAAAAAAAATACATACAATCTACGTGCAATACAATAGTTACAAAAATGCAGTGCACTTAGTTCCATCTTCCATGTGTTAAATCACAAGTGCATAATCTAACCTGGACAGATCTATGGGTATCATTTATTTGACACCATTCCCAAGTTCTTTCCTTTGGTGGTTATCTGCTCGGCTCACAGGAGTTCCAACCTGACAGCCTCACAGATAAAGAAATGAAAAATTTCACTTTCTCTCTGTCCTTTATCACGTCTGTCATAGCTCCTCCAGTCTCCCCCAGGACCCTGCACTGCCTCCCCATCCTCACCACTCACTTGGATCTCACTTGGATCTCACCCGGCCAAAGAAAGTGCGGTTTCATGTCTGCGCTTTCACTTACAGAGGGTTCATAGAGTCATGTCTTAAGGGCTTTCGTCTTTCTCAGAATTCGCTCTTCGACAGTTTATTATTGCGCTGCCTTAAGACATGACGGCCACTGTGTCTCCCGTCCTAACCGAGTTCTAACCGACCCAACTGTGATTAGACCCCAGGATCAGAGAGAGTGGGCGTAGACAAGGTTGCGTGGCTTTTTCTGTCTCAGGCTTTATTTTGACAGTATTACAAGCCGCAAATATCTCGCTGTCGGCTTGGGAAAATAATGTTTCATAATAATAGAATTTAAAAGAAAAATATTACGTTTGGAGGATAAAAAGTTAGAAAAGCTAAAACTCATGAATAGAATTATAACTAAAGTATGACTGTAGTTTCAAATTAAGCTTATTTTTTTATCTAATGAAAACTTGATATTGTAGAATCTTTGAAACTAAATGCTAAATTGAGATAGTATCAATGATAATTAGATGTCATTACAATCAAAAGGGAAGTTAGAATGTACTGCGTTGTGCGTTTTATCTGTCTTTTGAATTATATTTTCTTGGATCGATTGGTTAGATAATCGGTTCAGGTGATATCATGAGTAGGCCTTTGATTTGATGTAATAAAGGTGTCTCTGGCTCATATCAGCCTAGAGTGTAATATGCAGCTGGTTTAACTTTTACTCAGACAGTTCTGTAGTTACCTAGGGCAGAGAAAATCCTAGGGCAAACTGACAAATGTGGGCTGCCAAACCTGCCGACCGCCATGATACAAATAAGAGCCCAAAGTTTGCGTGGGACAGTGGGGTTTCCTCAGGCTGCTGGACGACAGGGCTGAGGTGCTAGAGACCTGCTGAAAGATGATCCCTTCGTACAGCAGCTGTGCTCTCCCCTGAGGGTGATGAGGCTCAAATGAGACGAGGGTCTATGAGGATGTTTGTCCAGCCAACAGCCACTGTACACATCATGAAGGGCTTTTGAAGACAAAGTGAATCATGCTTAGATAAAGCGTCTGCTCTATAGTGATAATCTATGGCCCTGGCTTCATCACCCCTGACCCCTGACCCCTGGCTCAATATTATAAAATATATGATTACAGATTCATGGATAGATCAGGCTATGTTATTATTGTCATTAAAAGGTGATTTCAGAAAAACAGCCACATTTTACTTTGAACATTAATACAAAAGGTAATTATAATACATCATTTAAGTTATAGATGCACCAATACCGATACTGGTGTCAGGTATTGGGTTGATACCACAGGCTTGTTGTACTCGTGTCAATGCATGAGCCGTATGGCAGTTTTTAAAGTAAACAAGTGACAAGTGAAAAAGCGGACTGTACGTTGCGGCAAAACTGTGACGAGGTGGGTCCAAAACAAACACGTATAACACCAGCAACTGGATCAAACATGTGAAAACTCTCCACCACACAGAGTATAGCACCTTTGCTAGCACCGGAGCACAAAAACAACCAACTCTACAACATAGCATTTGTATGAGTGGAATATAACAGTGGCTCTTATTGTTGACTGTTAATAACTGTTAAAGCATTTTCTTATTGTTGAAATGAGAAATAAAACATTTTAAATTTCAAATTCCCAGGGATAACACAATGCAGTACTTGTATCATTATCCGTTATTAGCAAATACTCATATCGATTTTGAAAAAAGTGGTATTGGTGCATCCCTAATTTACATAGATACCTGTCAATCAGTTCACAGTAATCAGCCATCTTTATGGTTGGTTCCAGCTCTGGTTATTTGCAACCTGGAAAAAATTATTGTAAATGACACTTTTCGCCGTAAGATAAATGTTCTGGACTATGTTGGTCCATTGCCGTCAATTTGGAATATAAGGTCTGAAAATATAAATATAAGTTTGAAAAAAAATTGCCTTTATAATTGTCCATTTTAAGTGAATGTCTGTTACTCTTCAATGTGTGAAGAGAGAGTGAAACTTTTTGAAGACAAGCTCTGGTTAGACCCACCCATGCTCACCCCTGCAGCTTCCTGATTGGGTGAAATTAATTCAAATCATTGAGGTCCTTTGTCATTGTTTTAACTGTTCTTATTTTGCAAATCTTACTGGTCAAAGCTATGTCAAGGGGAGGGCCTATTTATTCTCGAAAAAAATTACAAAACATTACGATTTTGATATCACCTTTAAAGAGGCCATCGGTCAGACAAACTTTGAAAATTATACATCAGCCTCATAAAACCCATGTTGGTCAGTCCCTAGATACAATAATGAGCCATAGATTCCCACTATAGCGGCTCCTCACACAGCCCCATGTGTCCTTCATGTGTGTTTTCCCGTGTGTCATTGGCTGCAGCCTGAGGACAGATTACCAGCTCTGTACCTGCGCTTCAATCACAAGAATCACACTGCGCCGCTGGATGCTTCCTGAAATAGCCACCTCTATAAATGTACTCAATTTTTTCATATAATATCACAAAATAAGAGAAGGGGGGTATAGTGGGATATCTAGCCACACGAT